GATAATTGTTGTAGTGGGGAATGACAAATAGGGGTGCTTGTCGCTAAAAAAGTGTATAAAAACGACGCAGGAGGGCATCCCTCCCCGTTGGCCTTTCTTTGGCATCCCCCCCCCCCGCCCCTCCCTGTCCCCCCCCCCCCCCCCCCACAAACAAACTTTAGCTACCAGGGGGAATAATACGAAAACCGGATAAAATAGAATAGAACAGAAAAATTCTTTATTTAAACACGGTATAATCCACCAGGAGTATAAAAAAAGTTTTTGAAATAAACCTAACTACCCTAAACAATATGCAAGAATATCTACAGCTAACCTAACTAAGACCTGTTTTTCATGAATGCCGTTTGCAAAGTACTTAAAAAAGATAGGCTCCAGCAGAGATTGTGCTTAATATCGTGTACCATCCCTAAGGCAAGAAGCCTAAAAAGAGAGTCAGGAGGTAGGCTTGCGGGGAACTACTTGCGGGCGGGAACAACACCTACGTACTAAGCTTTGGTTAGCGAACATGAAGGACAAGTAAGGCCAGATAAGTTTAATTGCAGTGTAAAAAGGAACGAGCGTTTTTCAAAGAAATGTATCACGTGCTCAAATCAGTTTTAGAATTCAGAAAATGCGTTACCATTTTTAATTTATCTCCGAAGTTCTTTCGTCACTTCTGTTATTACTTATCTAGAATCAGAACCATTTGGATATTTGAATATGAACAAATTTGACTCACACTTTGTTCAGGCGTAGTTCATAAGTGACCCTACTCCAGGGAGGAGGGGCACTAAATTATTCAGTTTTGTAGGGGGAGACTCCAACTGAAAACCAACGACTCGAGGTTCAACCCTTTACCTTTTAATATACAATTTTTGTCACCCTCTACTGACAAATGGTGCTACTTTTTCATACCTAAAATCTTGGACAAGATAAATGGCAAGCCTAGACCCACCCCCCAAATCAAGGATGGCAAAATGGCGCCTTTTTGGCCTTCGCGCAGCTTCATCCTTAATTTGGGGGGACGGACCATTATTTTTTGACGGGGGAGAGAGGGAAAGTGGAAAATTTTCACATGCAAATATATTTTTTTTATATATATGGATGCGGCTTCTGCTGCAAACGATTTGTGTGTGTGTGTCTCCGTCAGTTCCTGCAACCCTTTTTTTTTTTCTTGCACTTTTTCAGTTTTTACAGCCTCTGCAAACAATTTATTTCAAACTCCCCCACCCCTGTCAAAAAAATAATTGTCCGTCCCTTAGAACGATGCATCCCCTTAAACTTGTGTAAGAAGTGTAATAGCACTGTATTTGAAATATGAATGAATCACAAAACGAGAACGTTTTCTTAACTTTTTCACCGCCATAAAATGCGTCTGTTAGCCCTTTTGGCTCCTTTTACTGCCCAAAATGACAGATTAGTTTACCCTTTCAAATACGTCAACTACTGAAATCCCTACCCTTTCATGTAAAAGCCTGAAGGTATCTCTTTTAGGTGGGCCCTCACCGTATAAGCCATTATAGGGATCGAGTACCTTTTCGGGTCAAAAAATTGCATTTGTGTCCGCCTAGCTTAGGGCTTTCACACCGGGTGTGCTGTACGTTTGATCCCGGAAGGCCTCCTTACATCTAAAGCCGACTTATGATCATTCTTCAACTTTTTTGGCTGAAATAATACGGCTTATTTTTAATCCCCATTGGCCTCAACAGTTCCTTAGGAAAAAATTTTCTAAGCCGGCTTAGTTTAAAAGAAAGTTAATATAGTTCATCTAACAAAGAAAAAAAAAAACGAAAGGTCGGGATTCGGCATTCTAAGGCAAAATGTGGGCAAGATTAGGATAATAATTATGAAAGAGTTTTGGGATTTGGTGATGACGATGTGGGATTCGGAAAATGTTATTAAGTTGAAAAAAACCGGCACTTGTGAGGGAAGTGTAGTAGAAACAAGAAGAAAAATGTGAAAGAAAATCCTGTCGTATTAACTTATCAGAAAATGTCCACAATTTCCGTGACGCTGTCAAGTTTCCATTTTTTTTGTTTCCGTTTTTGCACTGTACCTTTATGGAAGAAATATTTCTAGTGAAAGACCAAACAAACGTTAAATCAAAGAAAACATTTACACAATAACTTTTCGTCAGAGGTTTCTCACACATTTAAAATTCAGAATTTTGACAATCAAAATTGGAGTGATTTTTTTTGTATAAGGACGTATTCTAATTTGCCCGGCTGAACGGGGTCTTATATTTTGGGTATTTAAATGTCAAATTTCAGCCTGTAGGTTCTTAAATCTCTAGGTTCTTATACTGTGGGTCTGTACTGTACTTTAGATAATCCCAGTTTTCCCTGAATAATACCTCCCCTTTAACTAAATTCACATCTACCAGATTGATAACAGTTCTTTAAGTTTATCGAAGATGAGGAAACCAGAGGTCAAATTTTTAGGTGTGTTACGTGCGAGAATGCTTTTTCTGCATACGTTGTCATAACGCTTTACTTAACAAGTCATTTGAATTACAATTACAGACTCACTTATAGGTACAGTTTAATTAAAAGCCTCTATGAGGTGGACGCCTTTGGGAACAGCGCTAAGTGATGTAAAAGTGCTGTCCGTCTTATGAAAGGGGATAAAAAGGCACTAACAACATTAATCCTATTTAGATCGTTTTTTTTTTTTTTTTAGCTTCCTGTGACCGGGGGCCAGGGGAAGGCTTCCGAGTCCCCCTCTCTAACTTTAAAACCGCTCAATCTATGGCCACCAAAATTACACAGAGTAATGTACCCATTATTTGCAACATCTGGGCGTAGCTTGATTGAGTGCATGATGTCCTGATGACGTACCGGTAGTTTTTTTAGTAAAGAAGGAACTGGAACCATCCGCCATCTTGGATCCACCATTTTGAATTAGTTTAATGCATTGCGCTTTACTTAAAACCCGTTTGTTGCTATGGCAACATCAATACTGACGAAGACGTCACGATGATTTTCAACAGGTTGCCAGATAAATTTGAGGAAAAGCCCACCAAAAGCCCACCTGGTCTGAATAGGCTTAAATGGGACAATACACAGCGTTAAGCTGGTGGTTTGTTAAATTTACGTCTTTGTTGCCATGCCGATAACGAAACGAAAACTTTGTGAATCTCTTTAATTGGTTTTTACTTGGCAAAGAAAGGAGTATTGCAGCGCACTCTCTATGAGGTTTTTTCGACTTAGAATACGAAATACATAGAGACGTATGTCCGTTTAAGAAAAAGCATGGGAAGGTAGAGGGTAGGGCATTTGGAATTTTTTTTTCTTCTTCTTCTTCTTCTTCTTCTTCTTCCAGATTTGGCCAATTTTGAATTGTGTGGCTCGTTTGGAATATACCGATTAATATTAGAAATTTTCAACCGAATTTCTTACGATAAGTGAAATAAAAGCAAGAAACGAAAGATTCGATGCTACAGCAAACTACTTTATTAGAAATGGAATTATTTCCCTTATTACACTTCACTTTAGAAATTATGCAAATTATCATTAAAATGCTTGTATCAGACTTTACACCAAGATATGCTTAATCCTACTCATATTTTCACCAATATACTGAAGAACATGAACTAGTCAGAAAACCAAGGCAGACTCCCATCAAACTGCCACTTTAAAAACTACGCAATTTGCCAAGAAAATGCTTGTCACACTGTGCACAAAGATATGCTTCACCCTACTCCGCTAGCTCTGACCTTAATATAAGAATATAAACCAGGAAAGACACCCATCGAACTTAACCTTAAAAGCCATAACACGGTTTTCCACACAAATATAGGGAAAATGATTTTTCCTGTCGGTAACGTTACCCAGACAACAAACCAAAATAATGGTCTGGATAGCTTCTCTAGTTTTTCAACTATTCAGATCATTTTGATTATTCTTCGCCTTAGTTTTTACGAGAAAGGAGTCAAACATAACCCCAGATTCCTTTGTTTCATTTAGATAGCAATACTATCGGGGATTCGCTCAGGTAACAGATTGATGTAAGGCAACTCCAACGATTCATTGCGAGCCTTGATTGAATCTGATATTTTCTGGAGAGAGGCCTGGAAACGACAAATTGCAGCTTCTGCTTCATCGCCCGTCAAAAGACTGTGGGTGCTGTCTCCAAGGAAACGCTGAAAAATAAAAATGAGAGAAAACAATAACAGTCTCTCTTTCGAGAAATTTCATAGTCATTTAACTATATTGTCGTAGAATTCCATCAGCTCCGTTTAATTCTTCCGTTATGAGAAGAAACCCTAGAAAACTGGACAAAGAAACTGAGCCAGAAAGTAAAGGATCTTCGGTGCTTAAATGTTCGAATACTGAAGATCACGAATTGTTAAAGTCACTTCCTCTGGAGGAAAGGTATCTAGGTAACGTCTTACATACACTGCAAAACAGTCGGTTTTTTTCTCAAAATCAGTAAAGAAATCGGTAAAGTGGGGCGTAAGTCTTACGCGCGAGGCGAGCGAGCCTCGCATGCCCCTAAGGCGTGTGAGGCGAGAGTATTTTTAGGGTCTCTGCCCAGTCTCGCTCTCTGTTTTCAGCCTCGGTCCAGACCTTTAGTTTGACTGTTTTGCAGTCTACCTCTTGCATAGTGAGCAAATTATCGGAACACGAGGGAGAGATCATGTTCAATGTCCAAAAAAGAGATCTCTCAACACATTCTCTATAGGCCGGAAGTAACGTATTTACTAGTAATGTTTGAACAAGGGTTCAGTGGCTTACCTCATCTTCGGCAAATTTAGTTGTCACATACAAGAAAGCAATTTGATGGGCAGCCTGAGACTTGTTTGGGAGCGTCTTCATGATGGATTCCAGAGAAGCTTCGTTTTTTTTGGTTGGAGGCGGGCGACGCATCAGATGAGGAGTGTTGGGAATAAAACCTGCAACATCCATAAGTCCAAAGTTCACTGCAGCATGCTGGCACGAGCACGTGAATACTATGCAGGTAAGAACGTGAACAAGTTGGTCGATTGTTGCAAGGTTTTTTGGAAGCTCGTGATCACCCTCGATGCCTCCTTCTCCAAGAGGAAAGCCATTCTCCTGTGTATCTTGTAACCAGGCTTGAAGCTCAGTGTCCTTGACAACATCATTATCTGTCTTGTAGTGTATGACAATGACTTCTTGGATAAAAGCTAAAATTGCCTTCCATAAGCGAAGAGCGTCATCTCTGAGAATAGAATGATAAATATAATTCAAATATAGTTTAATCGTTGAAAGGAAAGTAAGTGAAGCACTTCTATGTTACTTAATAGGCCAAGGCCAAATGTTGAACTTTTCCTGAGACAAACCAGATTGTAATTTGGGTCGACCTAAATTAAGCTAAGTTTGTCTGAACCAATCAGAGATCACTATCTGACGCAGACGGATAGAACGTGTTTATCGATTCAAACTCCTTCAGACGAACTTAAGTCTTACATCCTTGGACTATGCAATATCGGTGCAAGTTTTGTCTGTCATAAAAAATACTCCTCTCACCTGTAAAAATACTTGGGTAGTTTAGTAGCATCGTCCACTCCTTTCTTGGAAAGAACTTCAGGCAGTGAAAGCATGCTAAACTTAAATGACTTGTAGCCCTTCCTCAAAAGCTGCATCACGTCTTGCTTGTTACCAAGGTTATGCCTGATGAAATTGTTAATGGCCATCACGGTGCGAAGATGAGGGAAGAGGATTTTAAAGACAGGGTGAACTGAGGGCAGTTGGCGCCATGCCGCCACGGCAAATGGCTCCATAACCATATGGGTCTGGAGACCATGAGTGTTTGCCTTCGGAAAAATGAAACAGTTGAGAACGTTTGATAGCACTACTACTACTGAAATTTCCTGTCTACTCTGTTATAAACACAAGACTTAATTTATTTTTATTCATACGTTTTACTGCTTGCCACTCGCTTGCGTGTTCTCTCGAGAAGGAGAGCTTGCTCACAGGCTGTTTAGTTTTACAGTAACTGGTGCTAGGTTACTCGACTATTTTTGAGCGAAATTAAATTGTTGAGTAGTGTAGGAGGGATGTTTTACGCCTCTTTTTTGCGCAGGAATCTCATTAGCGTGCGCAGGAACACATTAACTAGGTGACGTCATAGGCTATTGTCTTGATCTCATGAATAAAATACTTTGGTATCTCATTAACTTGCGGTGGAATCTCATTAAGTATATCCAGTTTGACGGGTTTATCAATGATATCATGTTCTATTTTTATCTTGTGGCGGTCATGGTTGGTATAACCGGTTTGACAGGTTTTAGTTATTTTCGGAAGATGATGTCATATGTATTCCGGAGTACTATGATGTCATAGTTGTTTTGATTAGTTGACCGGAATTAGAAAGACGCTCATTGGCTGTCTCCTTTGACGAAGCATTCTGGTTGGTTGCCGTCTTTTTATTGTTTTCCCTCCTCCTCCTCCTCCTCTTCCTCCTCTCCCTCCACCACCTCCTCCTTCTTGCGCACGCTAATGAGATTCCTGCGCAAAAAAGGGGCGTAAAACATCCCTACTACACTACTTTGTTGCCTACATTAAAGGAGGCTTGGACATTTACTAACCAGCTACCATTGTGTCTTTAACTACGATTATATCCTTTGCATTATTTCTTTACCCCGCAGTTCCAATATATGAAATATATATATTCGTTATTTCGTCTTTATCTTTCACAGGTTTATAACGAACCAATTCAATGACCAGCTCCCAATTGGCTCAGTAAAGCGTGGCACCGGTGTCGCAGAGATCAGACGGTTGGAATCCAAGCAGGCCTGAATTTTTCATGCTTTCGTTTCGCAACTAAATAAGTCGGGTCTGAAGCTGCGGTGATCTTCTGTTTAACATTTATTTCTTCATCACGCAGTTTCAATATTAAATTCATGAATTAATTATTTCATCTTCATCCATCCTGGGTATATTATGTAGCTGCGATATCCTCTTCACATATATTTCGGACCAATTTAGGTTTCTGGGAAACTGCTCGCCTATCCCCCCCCCCTTACCCCCACCCTAAGCTAACATTAACACTTACTTCTCACTTAGGGAAAAATGTTGGCTTAGGGGAGGGGTAGGTGGGCAGTTTCTCAGAAACCTAACTTGATCCTATTTTTCAACTACAAACCTGCTGTACTTTAAAGTCAGCGTACCGAAGCCACATCTTTGCTAACAGCCAATCATATTTGGAATCACCAGGGGTCCATATTGGGTTGGTATCACTGGGTTGCTGAAACAACTGAATTGCAATAGGAACCAGGTCCCCAGAGCGTTTCACGTAAAAGAGTCCGAGGGGATGTGCAGTGTAGATGGTTTCCCCTTCCCCCGACGGCGCATCAATACCTTCCAGCACTTTGTAATCCACGATGTATACGTGACCTTCCTATTTCCGTAACAGAAAACAAAGTGGATATTTAGACCTCCCAGAAAGCTTCATTTTACCATTTTTCACTAGAAAAGTTAGCACTGTTATCTTTAGTGAAGGAGGTTACGCGCTCTCCAGATCGCAAAATGATAAAACTTCTAAAATTTGATATCTTGTCAGTGTTTCCGTCACTTCGATATCTCGCTAAAACTCGTAGTAGAATGACGACGGCTACCACTTTTTCCCGCCAAAATGACGTTGGTTTACGTTAGACTATTGAGTTAGCACTGAGAAAATCTCTACTTGTAGTCGTACTCGTCTTGGAATGTAAAGGATTCTATTATCTACACTGGATGTGCCATTGTCATACCTTCATTTCCTGTTCCAACGATAGCCCGCTGTCGAGAGCACCCTTCACCTGCTCATCAGTAACTGGAAAATGGCTTGGTAATTTCTCACAACGCTCAACTACATTTGGATTGCAACCATTCAGAAACATCGATCCGTATACACTGTCGGTCATCCATCGGTCGCCTTCAACAAGTTTTTCTCCTCCTCCATAGAAACAACTGACAATCTTTTGAAAGTCGTCAAAGTTATCCCAGCATTCGAAGACCGTTGACAGGTGAGCAAGACCAAGATCTATAACAGCCTTCCTTTTATCGTCATCAATGGAATTTCTGGCCTCTTGTGAGAACTGTGAGTCTCTTGGGATTTCAGAGTGCTGGGCAGCTTCTAGATGTCTCGGAAGGCCTTCCCAGCCCGCAAATGTTCCCCACTTGTAGCTCTCTTGGCGCTGTTGCAATTCTAGCTTTCGTTGATTTTTCACAACTTCTGGTTGATCTTGGAATGGAAGAATAGCTAAGAGAAAGAGAGGGAGAACGAGAAAGCGAGGCTTATGCATTAACCTCTCAGAAGTAACAATAAAAAGATGGAAATATTTTAGATTTCGAGTCCAATTAAGTGCTAAACGTATAAAACGTCCAGAACGGTGGTAATGGGCGACTGCGTCTCCAGTCGCGCATTACCACTTTATATTGATAAATATCAATATTCTGGTAAAACCAAGGTCTTGTTACCTTTTCCTTCAAATACAACCAAATCCGACAACACCCAGCGATAACAAGGAAACTCGAACGGATTTTGCTGACTGGAACTTATCACTGAGATTCTGTTTACAAACCAATCAGGATTTTTGTACCACCAGCCGCCACCACTGTTGTGAAGATGGATCATCAAGACCTCACCAACATCCATGGCCTCTACTGAATATTCATTAACATCTCCTCTTTCAAAGTCATTGCCCCAGTTGTCTAAGTTAATCATATCTGTTTTCCCTTTGGTTCCTACGAAATGGGAAAAAAAAAGAGGTAAAAAAAGTATCTACTAAGGCCTAAGTTAAATACTTGAAGGCATCTTTGTCATCTTACAGAAGTATGTCATATAACATTTGGGAAGGGTTTATTGCAATCTCCAGCCAACCCAAAGTATAATGTATGTTGTGGTTCTCTTTGATACTTGGTTTAAACTTTACTTTTCTTTGTTAACGTTGTTGCTGTTGTTATTAATTTTTTTTGCGTGTTTATGACTGATGATGTTGTCCAGATACATTTTGTCGCAAGTTTTTACAAACCTCGGACCAAATGCGCCTTAAAACCTCCTTATAGTAAAAATTACAAGAAATGGATGGGTTTACCTATCAGGCAGGCAGTTATCGAAGCATCTGTACTAGCCCCTGACTGGCTCCCAGTTTCCACCCAGATGAGATACGAGGCCATATGATCTGGGACTTTCTTATTTGATCTCGTGGAGCGCAGCTTCTGAGACCAAGCGTACACCGACTGGCGCACATGAAGAATAACATTGGGATCGTCAGCAGACTGGGCTGGCAACAAGTCGATAGAGGGTGGAAGGTGGTAATAAATGTACTTTAGACGCTCCGTTGCTTTTGGAGACAGCAGCGTCGTCATTTTAAGGTCAGCCACATCCAGCCATGGATGTGAACTCTCATCCCATCTCCTCCCGATATGAAGTATCAGATGCGAGTCATCGGGCTTAGCTTCGTGGAGTTGCACTTGGAGTTTGTACTCAATAGGTCCCTTGTTAATTCGCTCTTTATACTCAAGTTTAAGGTAATCTAGGGGCATGGTATCGGTCGGCAATCTTTGATTATCCCTATTTTCGACGGGGAGCAATGAACATGTTAAAGTATGGTCATTAAGTCATACTTCAACATAACTATTCATTTCCTACAAAGACCCTGGCTCCGGGGGTCCCTTCTCGAATAGATAAAAGAATAACCCCTGTGAACGGATAAAACATTTAAGAATAAGGAAAGAGAGAGAAATAATCTCGCAACCAGGGTAAAGACACATCGGTCTTTCTATTGTTTCTATTTATACTTATTCATTTTTATCAGTTGCGAGCGTTTCACTTAGATTGATCGATTTTTCTACTGAAAAAGAGTGCGTCACTGAGTATGAGGGAGGTCCCGGACAGGGCGAAGACTGCGTTATAGAGGAGGGCCTTGGGCTTTACTTTTAATCCTCTTGCCCACAGAAAATGACACAAAGTAGTACCATAAGTCAAGCTTCAAGGAGTTTAAAGTTTAGCACGTTTTCCATATACGTGAAGCTTAATCCAATCCGAGATGTCTCTGTTGCCATGGTGAGAGTATACGTCAGTTCACCTACATGTAAAAATTATCCTTTGCACACTGTGTATTTACTTGTACAATTTCCGACGAAATATAGCCTGTGTACAGCCGCCCCATCCCCTCAAAATAAAAATCAATCAATCAATCAATCAATAAAATAATAAGTCATAAGGGATAGAGACGCCGTCTTTCCATACTCAATAGGTAGGAAGAAGAGGACGGTAAAACGCTTGTGCGTGACAAACGTGACAAGGTTATTATTTGCGTGTTTCGCCGTGAACTTCACTTAACATTAATGTTTTCTGGTCTTTTACAAAAAAGATCTGTTTGGGGTTTGGGTTTTTCGGTTTGGGGCAATTTTTTTCTTCAAACAAAACTGTGGTCACCCTTGTCACACAGGGTTTGCTGTCTTCTTTGATCTCCCGTCCTATTGCGGGAGAGGAGAGGAGAAGGGTGTATATGTTGTGGTTCAATTATATCCTTGGTACAAATTTCATTAATCCTTTGTTTCAAACTCATTATCATTCATTACCATAATTAAAAACAAAGGAGACCAAAATTTAAACCAAGGATAAATTGAACCACAACATATTCTCGGTTTTCACTCACGTGAGGAACCAGAAATAAAAACGGAAACCTTTTAATACAGAACGTCTAGAATCCGGGAAATGAAAGGAGATAAATACACAAAAAGCCTTGCCAAGAATCAGGTCTATGCAACAGTTCATATGCGAGATATTCGGAAAAACGTTTTACCCAAATTTATAAAGCTTTGTATGGAGACGCCATGTTTATGTCCCTTTCAGGGGCACAAATATGGCCGCCGGAAACCAATATCTGTTTTTGAGTTTTCCTAATTAGGCGTGAATTTTTCGCTTGAGAAACTCATAAGGATTAAAGTAATATTTATTCTAAGACAAGGAATGATTAGATAGCAAAATCTCCAAAAATCCGTAATGTTTTTAACCCACATAAGAGCTTTCCCGGCCACCGGCTAAATGACGCGTCACGCAAAAGCCTAGAAATTCAAGCGTCCTGTATCGCAAAACAAAGAACCCTTTTGAACCGAAAATTTGTTTGTATGAAGGTTTTATGGTGCTCTAATATCACACGAAAGTAGAAACTCAGAAGAAGCAATAGTTTCTTAGTTCGAATTATAGTGACGTCATGTGAAAACCGAGAATACACAGGCTGTCTAAAAAAACATGGGTTTAAATAAGCTGATCTGAATTTAAGGCTATAAGTACTACGGCATTAGGACACTTTGAATGAGGCCAAATTTTCAAATGCTTGCTGCGAGAAAGAATAAACAGCTGAATAAATTTTTAGGATATCGCTAGAGGTCTATGGTGTTTTATAAACTCACCAAGGATGCCACTGGACCTCTTCAGATAACAAACCCGTCTCCTGTGATCCGTCAGCTGCGATCAGTCGAAATCTTGCATAACGTTTGACGCCATCAAACGCTTTAAAATCGAAGATCACTTGAGAATGATACCGCAGGTGGTAAAATGAATCAGGTTTTTGGCGGAGACCATCCATGTTGGCTTTAAGACTACGTTTTGCAAGAACAAAAAAAATATCACTGAGCGCTTACCATTTGTATAAAAAACCCGGTATTTCCGGTGAAATGTTTCGAAAAAAAAACAACAACAACTAAAACCTGCCAAGGTATTATTAACTTTTCTCAGTTTTACTGAAACGACCAAAAATATCCTGTACCATTGTTGCATGTGGATTACCAATGCCACGCCTCCACCAGAAGGAACGCGAAAAATTTCCTTTTTTTTTTTTCTTTTTTTTTTTTAAGGGCACAACTAAATCCCACCCCTATTTTGGGTGTCAAAACAATACCAGTAATATTTGTTGAAAAACGTTTTACCGAAATTTCCCCACAAATGCTCAAAGCTATTCGTAGACTAAAGGACATAAGCGCGAAAGAGTCTCGCAGCTACTAAAGATCTACTTATAGAACTGACATATTTTTCTTATTACTTACTGATCTGGACTTAGTAGAAGGTAAGTTTTCAAATCTCCTGAAACCCGACCTTTCACAGCCTCCATAACTGCTTTAGTGCTCCACAGCGGAGTCATCTCTCCAGTACCCAGGACAAGATCCAATGGGCTTTCTTCATCTTCACTTGCAGCAAATCTCAACGCTCCGCCGAAGATGTCGATCTCTGCGTCATCTATGGACTGGCTAGTGGAGTGACGCAAGCAGACTGGATAAAGATGGCCAGGGGTGAAGAATTCACAAGCAGGAAACTTGGGATCAGAGACTATTGTGGCGATGCCTTCGCTCCCGACGCCACCTGGGTGCGTACCCCTCTGTCCCTTAATTATAGGCTTCAACCCAAAAATCATCTGGAGTTTTTTCGTTTCAAAAGCTATTCTTGCAGAATCGAAAAGTCCAGGCGATGGGAGAGGCTGAAAAGGTAGTAAATGGCAAACAAAGAGTGATTTACTGCGTTATGCTGTCCGTGAAATAACTGTACATAATTGACTGGTGAAAGCTACAAACAAACCAGAATACATGTTAACAGGCATGAAAATTTAAAAAAGCCACTTGAAAACGCAGAGTAAAGTAGAGTAAGGTATTATAGTAAAAGAGGGAATTTTCCATATAGCTTGGCAGCGACTTTACCTTTCAGAAGATGATCACCGTCACCAATTGTTATCATTTATTTATGTGTCGTTAGTTTTGAGACTCTCTCTTTGGTAGCCCTCTAACAATAGTTGTTTATTTAACTGTCACACTTTCTTACAGTTTTCTTATTAAAATAAACAAGGCTTAATTACCTTTTCAAACTCTTCAATCTTCTTTTTGAACAATTCTTCTCCCATAATACCTTTGTAAACCTCATATCCAATGTTCCCTGAAAAAAAAAACATTTTTAAAAGTATGTTAAAGGGATTAAAACAAAACATATAAAAACCAAGCGCAACTTTCATCTACGTGAAAACCATAGGAAGGTGACGTTAATTGAGTGTGGTAACCGTGGTCCGGTGGGCGAGGGCTTGGAACCTCATGGGTTTTAACTCAAACGGGCTTTGACCACATAAAATTGTGTGATGTGGTGGGGAAAGGAAAATCATTCAGAATGACCACCAACTTTAAAGATTTTACTAGAAATTCTGACTTTTACAAATAACATTTATAACTAGCGATTTTACAATAACATTAACATTACACTACTTTTGATGCTGTTTTACAATTCTGGAAAGAGAAAAGGCTTAGTTTGTATTCTTGGTCATAAATTGCTTGTTAAATCTGGCCTACCCTCACCTGTTATCATAAGAAACCAATATTCAACAATTTTTGGAAAAATGTTTGTTATCAAATTGTAACTAGTAAACAATTTATAAGAAGGGGATTTTTGAGCCCTAAACATTTAAGACAAACAACAACAAAAAACAACAGTGTCCCCGTTGCATATGCGGAAAAACATGGATCTTCGCTATACTACGTGTATGTTCATTTAATAGGGATCCGTTTTCCACAACACCATAAATAAACCTAATTCGTCAAATAATTGCAAGTACATCCAATTCAAAATGACAAATTGTAGGATTTTCCCTAAGGAAAAGATGTTTTCTTTGTTTTCACTTTGACTTTTAATAGACTGGTGCTTTATAAAACATTAAATGGTTTAAAAGGCTTACAAGACATCTTGATCTTGGTTTACTGGGCCCTCCTCTAAAAAAAAAAGCAAAAACAAAAAAGTAGAATAAGTAATAATGATAACAACAATAATAATAATAATAACAACAACAATACGTTATTATACATTGACAATGAGTACAATGATAATTTAATGAACAATATTTATTAACTATCAAGTATGAGGAAGGATATTTGAGGGGACTAAAAGATTGAAAAGATCAAGGAGGATACAAAAGCTCGAGTTTTGATAAACTGTTTGAAGGGTAAATTTTCTTGCCGTAACCTAAATTTCTTGAATGCAGCTAAAAGGATGATATCAGCCATGATAAGGTCTCAGGAATAAACCGCGGACCTCCTACAAGGTCACAACCAAGCATCATCGGTCTAGAATCAAGGCTGATTTCTTAGAAATCCTGGGCTTTGGAATCCGGAATACAGCTTATGGAATACAGAATCCCACTAACGATTGGAATCCAGAATCCATGTTCCATTGGCAAAGAATCCGAAATCCATTACCTAGAATCCAGAATCCAAAGCGTGGAATCCAGACTTTCTTGGTTTCCGTTAGGTGTAACTTTTAATATTTTGCTGATTATTGTAAACCAATAATAAAACCATTATTTCCTTTGAATGATTCGGTCTTGTAAAAATTTCTTTATTTATTTCTTTCTTTCTTCAGTTCTTTCCTTTTTTTAAAATTTTAGCTTAAAACAAAGATAAAAGGCGAGAGGATCTAGAAAGTTTGTACCCTGATCTAAAATACTTTTTGATTGAGATACCGGGTAGGAATAGTCAAAGCGGGGTGCTTGACCAAACAAATAAAAGAAAAAGCTAGCTACGTGACACTTTCGAAAGTAAGTGAAGGAAAGTTTCAAATTTTGTTTTGAGGCTTTCGATGAATTAATTTTTTATATGAACCAAATTTCGTCAATCTTATTGAGTAGATTTAACGATATTGTCGTTTATTTACATTCCTTAAGGATGTCAACAAAACAAGCGCTCTCCTTTTGCTTCCTAAGGACGACGCATGCTCAGCACTTATGCGCGCACTTAGACCACATGACATTTCGAAGACTAAATGCTATTGAACTTCTTTTAAGCATGTCCTTGCATTTTTCTCTTTAAAAGCTTTTTGACTGCATAGCTCTTCATTATAAAGACGTTACAATGAACAGCAAAAGGATAGATCAGTTCTAGAGAAGCTGTGTTCAGTCACACTCTGAATAGATCGCAAGTCTGTAATGCTTGGTTTACGTGGGGCTCAGAGGACGAAACCATGTTTGCGTGACAGTAACAAATTCCCCTTGTCGTTTATTATTATTTTTTATTCTTATTTATTATTTTCTTTACGGAAATTTTCCTCAGAGCCTACCACGAGTGCTTAATGACTGCGAGAAAGACAAAGAGCCTATTTTCTTTAGTTGAGACCGCTTTCACTAGTCAGACTAATGGTTCATAGCCGGCGTAGATGGAGGGAAAAGTGGGCATGTCCTGTTAAGCTTATTGGTGGACGCCGCGAGAAGATTTGAAATCCCTTCGCGAAAATCGCTCGCTCATCTCTCGTGGAAGCTCTGCCGTAAAAAATGGAACCCGAGAAAAACAATCTTTCCGACAACTCAGGCTACACAAGTGGCCATCGT